TGTCAGCTTGTTCGGCGGTTTCTGGATGGCGTTTGAGCCCTGCGTGTACTGGGTCCAGCCCACTGGGATGACACTGCTAGGCCTGCCAGACACAGCAGTAACATGTGACATACATGCTCACTCTATACTCCACTGCTGCAGCTGCATTTCAGTCTCATTCATTTTCCCATGAACACCCCTCTCACTTTGAACACACTGGAAAACGATACTAAGTTCCGGAATGTTATTTTGTCACAATTAAACTACGATAGAAGAATGCTGATGGCAGCCAGTTGCCAATCTTATAATTCATGCCCAGTTAAAGTGAGGACCTTTATCATTTAACATACAATTTATTGTCACAATGTGTTAGACAGACAAAAAGACAATGCTGTGACATAAATATACTCTGCAAATACATAAAAGATTTCATTTTTATTTGTTCTGGAAAGCACTCTGTTTTTCAGCTGCCATCCTAACCAATAACATGGACAGAGCCATTTATTAACAATAACATCATATTATGAAGAATAATATTATAATTTTCTCAGCACTTAGTGAGACTAATAAAACACAAACATCTTACAGCCTTCAAGAAGCACTTCTGTATTTACTTTAAGATTTGTTTTTGTGACAATAACAAGGAGAGTAAAAATGGGGGGAAAAAAATTATGGCCATTGTCCAACCATAAATGAAGTACATGTATCAAAGATTGTTGCGAGCTGTTTGACGCATTGGGGAGTGAGTGGGATCGTTGTTTCTTAGCAATGAAATAAACAGGCAAATTGCTGTGCGACTCTGCTCTGTTCTCCAGGCTGGCTTACTGTCTTCGTCGAGCATCGCGAGGGAAACACGCCCTCCCCTCACACACTGGCCACGGGCCCCAGGCCCGACTGTTGCCGTTTCCAAGACGACTTGAGGATCTTGAGTAATGCAAGAGATCAGATGTTGGATGAGGCAACGCTCATTGTTTAGCTTCTGGTTCATTCATCGCGGGCTGCGTTTGAATGCGAGTTCCCTTTTTTCTCCTGCACTATTTTTGCACTACTGAGAAGCAAGGTGAGCCTCCTAGGTGTGCATAAGTTCCTCGGTGGCGGCTTTCACTCCATCAGCTGCGTGGCATAGAAACACTATGGGTCAGTTTGCAAAACACACACCCCGATTGTACGAAGTCACAGACACTGTGGTATTACGCTGCTGGTCAGGTGGAATTGATCAATCTGAAAAGGTGAAGGAAGATGTGAAATAAATGACCCTCTCAATAAGTAATGGAAAAAAAATCATGAAAAATAGAGGAAAACAAGGATTGTTCTGAAGCCTGGAAGTTAAAATCCTGCAGCTTTATTTCCTCATCAAAACAACTAATTACAGCAGAATTAAGTGCAACGTAGCTAAAGGTAGACAGGGACGTCGCTCTTGTGTTTAAACCACCGTAAAATCCGCCCTGGGATTACTCACTTCCTAGGGTGTCCACTGGGGAAGGGTCATCTGACTCATTTCCAGTCCTCTGACCCCTGGCAACAGGTCCAAACGATGCAGCCAAGAGTAAATAAACGTTAGCAGAACTTGAGGAGAAGCTGTTTTCTTGTGCAGGGTGCCACAGCATGACACCCCCCTTGTCAAGCCTCCATTTTAATTTTGACCAGTGTTGTAAACAGGAAGGGCTGAGCTGTGTAGTCAGGTGTCATCTTTGCAGGTCCTCCTTTGCATTAATAATTGCGTTTTGTCATAATCTTTCCGTCCCCAGGATGTGACTCTTCTCTGCTATCCCACTGGGAAATCGTGTATGATGTTCTTCCCCTTTCAAATGACGTATCTCTCTGGTCTGGTCGCTGTGACCTCAAAGAACAGGCCCCCCTTCAAGACTTAATCACTTCAAAGAGAGGTGGGGATTATTAGCGAAAAGTGGGATTTAAACAAAGCCTGGCTGGAAATTAACAAAGCACGGCGTTCTACAGCTTGATGTCACTGAATGTTAAAGGAGTTCAGTCATGACTGTTTATCAAAATAGAATATAAGTTAGCAGTTATGTAATATTTCCTTATGGCAACACTCGAGAGGGTCTTTTAGAAAGCAGAAAAGCTACTAGCAAGGATGTAGCACATTTTCGGCTAAATCACAGGCTGATATTTTATGTTACAGCGGACATACATGTACCTCTCAAGGGCTTGACAATGGTAAGTAGGACCATTTCCTGTTATATACTGCATGTCTCAAACTTGGTTATAAACAAGCAGTAAGTACTCATAAAATGTTATCAAAAAATAGTACAAACTAGTAACTCTTTTTGAGTTTGTACTTTTAAATCTAGCAACGGCATCTTAACTGCCTAGCTACCCAACTCAATTCCCAAGTCCCCATCCCAGTCACTGTCTGCAAAAACCTATTTACTTACTTAATTACTGAATTATTAACTTACTCATGTAGTTCACGGCGTTATACTAAATGCTAAATCTAGCAGACAACAGTTTAACCTTCAACCAGTGTCCCCAAATACAACAGAAACGTGAACATGACAAGCGAAACGTATCTGCAAAGACCGAATACACTAATATTCATTATTTATATACCTTACAATGAAGGTTATTTTTTCTGAATGTATACAGCAAAACATAAACAGATAACAAATATTTCAAGATAACTATTAACATTAAACAGTAGCTGGATGCAAAGCGTTATGATCTCTGGTGTACCACTCTATCATCACGTAGAGGAAAGCAAAAACTAAAATAATAATCCAAAAGAACTGGGAAGAACAATTGGGGATCCAGTCAAAAGATGTACTTGTTTAAGGAGCCTGTGATTTTGTGCGAGCTGCTTGTGGTGCGATTTTCCTTCAGACAAGGGAGAAGGAAGCGAGTCAAACACATGACCAAACGTCCGAGTGCCTTGGGTTCCCTCCAAGGGGCTCTGCAACATAACCGATTCAAGCCCGCTGTGAATCTGCCCAGAATTAATGACAGGCTTAAAGCTTGCAGACTTTTGGGCTCGAGTTAAATAACACACAATACGTAACAGACCACGATGTACATGATAAATGTCTCACTTTTTTTTTTGCTTAATCTTTCAGCCTTTTCGGTGAAAGGTTTGACTGTCATTCTAATGAATACCTAACAAGATCCGCATCACCAGCCACCATCCAGCAGCGTTCCATCATTTGCAATCTATTGAACTGCTAGGGTTTCTTTCCGGTCCTTTCCAGGTTGTCCGAAACACTTGCTCACACATGGATTAATGAGTCAGGATCTCACAGGGGAAACTCATGACCACGAGAGACGTCGGATATTTCATCAGAATCGTCACGATGGCCATTGGGTATGTTCTTAGGGAGCATCACACCAACACTGGGAACCGATTCTTACCAGCTATTATAAATATCTGGAAAGACCCTGAAAATCCAAACACATTTTTGCGATGAAGATGGTGCGAGGAATAGCGATGCTCAGCATTCTGCCTCCAAGGTAAACCTGAAATATTAAAATGCATGACATCATGCGTGTGAAATCACTTATTCAATTGCATAGGCCATAGCTTATTAAAGATATGAAGTGCAATACGACCCGAATATAATTATTGTATTAATATCATTGTATCAACACTACGGAATGCAGAAAGATCATACCCCATCATCATTTTCATATTTTCCACAAAAAAGATGACAGACAGTCCATCAAGTATAATTGATGGCTTGCATTGTGGCCCCATTGACTGACAGGTTAGTAACAACATCCCATAATTTAAAACAGCTTGGAAGAAATGACACTGAATCGAGAAGATGGTACTTCTCTGTGTAACACCACTGAAAGTCCTTCAGTCCTTGAGTTGGAGAACTCAGGTCTGACCGATGCTTTATTATATAGCCTCAGTGCACCGGGCTGTAATGCACACCTCCACCAATCACAGCGCCATCTTGGCGTTGATCATCATCACTGCCGGCAAGGTGGTATCGCATTGCAGCTTGTCCCACGCATTAGCAGCACACCCAAGATGCAGTCTTGTATTATGGTTAGGAAGATAACTGCAAAATTTTTGTAAGAAAACAATTTGACATGGACGGAATCCCCTGGAAACAACTAATGACAGTCAATGACGTGAAACATTACTTTTGAGCAAGCAATGATAATTATATCGTCAGCTATTTTGTGTCTTGCTGTCCTGTACTGATACAGACGCAGCCACCGAAACAGGGAAGCAACATCCACAGGGACTGGCTACCAAAAGTGATTCATGAGATCAAAAATTCAGCTGATGCAGTTTTACCGCTGGATCGTGATTTCATCACTGTGCAGTTTGTGTCAGAAAATTTATATTCACGCGTCAGTTATACTGCTGAGTTAAGAAAACCTTAATGGTATAAAATCCAGTTTAGCAATAGGGGTGAAAACGAGGCACCATAGTCAGAGTGTGTTCCTCCTTTTGTACTTCAGTATCGACCGTATGCCAAGATCTACAGCCAAGTTCACGTCGCTGAGAAGTCAGCTATGTCCTCTGGATGGGAATATTTACTTCGATCTGGCAATGGCAGGTTACATCTTTCATATATCAACACCAATAGGGAAAGCTTTTCTGAGCCCTGCACAAATGGAAGGAGGTTTACACGACAGATCGTGGGGTCCAAATGGGTTGTTTTTTTTTTTATTGCCAAAAACTGATATATGTCCGCAATAACATACAATTGCCCACCGAGGAATAGGCATCCGCAGTAAATGCTGTTTCTCAGAATATTTCATTGGTCTAATGACAATCCGGTCTGTTACCGCATTACGGGTCCTACCGATTCGGCGATGCAAGCCTGACCTCTGAATAGTTAGAACGACGACACTCAAAAACGAGAAATCGACTCAGGATCCGGACGCTGGTCCTTGAGAACAGGACAATCCCTGCTTAACTTCATAACAGAGAACATGCGTGTTCTACCTCCTTGTGTCTGAAAGCTCTCTCTAAGAGAGAATAATCTGTGCCCCTCCACCCCAGTAATTTAATCATGCTGTTAAATATTGCAACAGACATGGTTCTCTAAACATCTTCCCCATCACCAGAGAAATGACTCAGTCAAGGCGCTGCTTCTGTGGCCTCAAAGCTAAGAGGGTTAGGGGGTAATCCGAATATGGAGCGAGATGAAGCTGCAGGTATTGAAGTTCTGGATCCAAGCGGCAGCTGGACTGACTCTGCGGAGGTACAGCACTGTCGTACATTCGAGAAGGGTTACCTTTTATGAAGTTTCAGTAAGGCAGATGCTCTTGGGAACTGCAGGGACTGTATAGGTATGTAGTAAATACACAGTATTAATTTCAGATACTGTTCTCTCAAAATGTCTTAATATATTTATTCAGGATAGAAGCATTGTATGGACCAGAATAGCATGTGTGGGTAGAGGTTGATGAATGCTGGACCTATTCTTCAGTTGCTTCACTTTACATGTGCTATAGACAGAGTAAAATGTCGTCAAGCAAACTGAAGGTTCAGTAGATCATGGGCCTGTTAGTATTAGGTGTCGTCTAGTTGATGTTATCTATATAGATGGGTCTTCATATGCCCAAAATAAGGTGGTTCTTCTGGTCATTCATGCTTCAGCCGACAATTGAAATTGGTCTGCTTGTAATTCTATCTGTCTAAAGTATCATATCTTCTTACTGTAATTAAGGGTCCAGTATAATTATGACACTGCTGCAAATTTTTGTGGACAAAGTATGCAGAGCAATTTTTGCTGAAAGATAACAGTATCTTATATGGAGTGGCAGCTATTGCATATGGCATCCATTATTATGCTGTACAGACCAGTAAGATGAATGGACAATAGGACATCCAAAGGTGGCATGGGACCACCTTTAGTAGAGTTCTAGTCCCAAAATACCATACTCTTTCATGCATTTTTTTTGTTCAAATTTGATTAATTGAAGATTGAATTAAAGTTAAATTTACTGAATGTATGTGAGCATATGTCCTGCGATAGACTGGCGTCCCATCCAGAGTGTACCTTAACCTTGTGCCCTATGCAGCCTCGTCTCCTGGGAGGGTGTCCAAGCAGGGATTCTGGGAGGGACTCCAAGAAGAGACTCTGGGAGGGACTCCAAGAAGGTACTTCAGGATGGGACTCTGGGAGGGACTCCATGGAGGGACTCTGGGAGGGACTCCAAGAAGAGACTCTGGAAGGGACTCCAAGAAGGTACTTCAGGATGGGACTCTGGGAAGGACTCCAGGGAGGGACTCTGGGAGGGACTCCAAGAAGGGACTCCAGGATGGGAATTTGGGAGGGACTCCAGAATGGGACTCTGGGAGGGACTCCAGGGAAGTACTCAGGGAGGGACTCCAAGAAGGGATTCTGGGAGGAACTCCAAGAAGAGACTCTGAGAGGGACTCCAGGATGGGACTCTGGGAGGGAAGGACTCTGGGAGGGACTCCAAGAAGGGACTCCAGGATGGGAATCTGGGAGGGACTCCAGGGAGAGACTCTGGAAGGGACAACTCCAGGGAGGGACTCCAAGAAGGGGCTCCAGGATAGGAATCTGACCAGAATAAGTGGTTAAGAAGATGGAAGGTTACTTCTTTAAATACGTAATTATTAGTGTTATTCAATGATATAGAAATTTAAACTTTTATAATTATTTCAGGTCTGAACAATAAAATAGCTAAATTTAAATATTATTTATATGAAATAGTAATGTGTTGGGTTAATACAAAGGTTTTGACAAATCGTCCAAGAAACACAGATTTTACACATTTTAAAAATGTCTTTAATAAGGATCTGCCATTTTCAGCCTTTAATAGATGTGACGTCTACATTAGTATTTTGTAACAGCTGAATCAAGCTTAATTAATTAAGATGTCGGTGGGAACAAAAGCCAGTCAGCACAGCGGGTTGCCTGGACCTGGATTAAGAAATGTCATTGATGGCTGTGTTTATAGGCGCAGGGCACAGCAGGTGGCTTAGTGGCACTGATCCTGGATCTGTGAATGCAAGGTAGTCAGTCCAAGTACTAGGGGGCGCTGTGGTGCCCATAATGGCCATATTTAACTTCGTTTCACATGCCGCACTCTCTGAAGCAGTAATGCTTTCGCAGTTTTAACTCATTAATTACAGCCTAAGTCAATTTACCAGACCCATTAAGAAGGTCACTTTACTTTAAAAGCTGTGGCAGTCGTCATGGACACCTGAGCATGGATTCTACTCAGCTTAAGGCTGTTTAATGATGGAATTTTCGACAAGCCTTCTCAGTCACAAAACCTAATTTATCATAAAATCATCGAGTAAATCAGCGCCTTCAGCTCTGTATCAAAGGGCTTGTTTCCAGGGGGTGTGCGAGTCTGCGCTGAGAACGGCTGGGTTATGGAGGTTGCCAACCTGTAGTTGTTGGCTTCTGACATTTCTTTTTCCAGGGAATGATCTCAGGTTTTCCAGCTCTCCCGCACTCGCTGCCTGAGCACGCGCCGGTCTGTGCTGCGCTACCTGTTAGCCAGAACGCGTGACTTTCTGGGAACGGCCGTCACGAAAAAAGATGCATTTCTGCAGAGGCCGTGATATACAGGTGCATGAGACGATGTGCTATTAACCTTTAAAAGGTCACCCTATCTGCACGCATATACAAAAGTAATTACAAATATATGTATTTCTTCGATATGTCTGTTCTTTATTCTTGATGTTATTGAATGTAGCATTTTAATAGTCCTACATCAATACATACAGTATGGGACCGATGAGATTTTAAAATCTATGATGGGTGGGATTACTGTACGCAGTCAGTCACTTAGTGGTTTAATTAAAAGGAGGGGCCAACTAAGTGACCAATAGGAAGTGGGCTAAACCCCACCCACTGTGGGTCTCCACTGTCATATAACAGCTATGCTATCCAATTTACAGGAATGAAAAGACCCTCATGCTTGGCAGTCAAAGGATCTCCGTTTATCCATTCCTGTATTCTAGCCAGCCACCTCTTCAGTCAGGGCTGCTCGGTTCAGGTGACTTATAGAAATGTCCAAGAAACACATTTTGGTATTTGACATGCGCATTCATGTAACTGCATGTCAGTGTCAGCGATCGTACAGTGAACAGATTCCTCACTTGTGCTCCTTTCTCTTACTTAAATCATGCATCAAGCTTTCAGAACAGGACGTCTGTCCTGCGCGAAGCTAATTACCATCCATTATTGGAAGCAGACTGGCCGCGCGTAGGTAAATTGCTGCTGACGTTCCCGACAATGGAGAATTCAGAGGGACCTGGGTAGCTTCACAATGGGACATTGTTTGGCGAGCTGAAGTTAACTGTAACAGCACACCTCAAAGGGATTTTCCTGTATGCTGGTTGACGTCTGTTCATTCATTACATTTCATGGTTTTTAAGGATCTGCTTCATGGCCTCCTGAAGTTTGTTCAGTGTTCTTGCAGCCCCCCCTCTCACCCC